AGCTACAATATCCTACAATGTTTTCCTCTACATCAAAGAAAAAGTGACGAAGCTGAGAACTTGTAATGCAAAAACGTACAATATGTTCATTGTGCATGATAGAATAATTGTAAAATGATTTCTTAGTTTGTGCAATTTTGTTTTGAACAGGAATCATTGCTTGAATTGTACAGCACTGAGTTGGTCACCAAACCCTATTTTCTGTAATACACACACATTGTATACAGTTGAGGTGCATGTTGGTTTAATGTTGTTCCGGCATCTAATGTGTTATGTTCAGTGATATAAAGTAACTAAGTAAATTAACTTAAGCACAGTACTTAAGTACACTTTTTAAATACTCTTTCTTTACTTAAGTTTTAGAGTTTTATTGAAATAGCCTACTTTGTATTTTTACCCCACTATAATTCAGAGGTACACTTTTTCTTCTACTAAAGTTTACCTTTAGTAACTTTGCAGATTTTGATTAATAATGTTAGGATATAAACAACACTCAAAAATACTTTAGTCACACCTGGATTAAAACTCACAAGCTATCCTGCAGTATACAAAGTAATTCAAACTAGCTGGACCTTTACCAACATTGATAAGTGATAACACATTATTAATGCATCAATATTTATAATCAAAACATATCATATATTATTCTGAAATTAGCCGATCTGCATACTTTCATTTGAGTAACATTTTGAATGCATGACTTTTACTTGTAACAGAGTATTCCTGCTCTTTGGTACTTTTACTGAAGTACAAGATCTGAGTAGCCTACTTGTCCCACCTCGGGTTATGTTTTTTAAAAAGTAAAGATTTTAAAACCCTTACCAGAGAATCTGATGCTGCAGAGAGCAGCCCCATAGTCTCCGTGCATGCGGGCCACTGCTGCCCTCACTGCCGCTGCCACAGCTCGGTCATCCAGTAGCAACAGGCGGGCCCTGTCTGTCACATTGATTTCGCACAGTAAATACCTGCAGACAGAAGACAACCCGTCAGAAAGTGGATTGAGAGCACATAAAAAGTGTTACAATGGTAAATGAACAGCACGTTTTACCTGGACTTGACACGAACCATCCCTCTCTTCTTCCGTGGCGAACTTCCGTCAACAAAACGATCTACCACCAGCTTGCACTAGAGCGCCACGTGCTGGAGGTTAGAGGCGATGCTGGGTGTACTTGATAATAGACACTGGGCCGCACGATTTCAGATGTGTCTATTCATCAACACACTTTCTAATGGGAATATTTGTTGTACTTTATTTATTTTAGATTAACGCAAGTTTATACTTTTACTCCACTACTTTTATTAAGCAGCTTTAGTTACTTTTCAGATTTGCATTTATGAAGAAGATACGACCTTGAGCGCCTTGAAAGCCGCCTTCATAAATAAATGTATTATTATTATTATTATAATAAACTTTTTATATACTGCATCTCTAAATTAAACTAGTGGAATAACTGATAATATACTGTATATTATTAGACATACTGTTTATATGTCTATGTATATATATATACTGTATATATTTATTTATCACATATGGACCTTTCGCTGCAGATTTAGTACTTGTTGTACTTTACATATACTTTGGTGACAATACGTGTGTACTTTATTTAAGAATGTAGAACTTTGACTTGTTATGGAGTATTTTGACATGAATGTATTGCTACTTTTATGCCAGTAATTTCACATATATGATTGTGAAAAGGGCCTTTATGCACAACCAATACTTTTACTTACTTTAAGTATATTTTGATGCCAATACTTTTGTACTTTTACATGAGTAAGACTTTAAATGTACTTTCACTTGTAACAGAGTACTTTTACAAGTAAGTATTAATACTTTTTCTAAAGTAAAATATCTAAATACTTCTTCCACCTCTGCTCACAATGGAACCAACGGGGTCATTTTGTTAGTAAGTGGTGGGGACAATTTCTCCAGATTTAACATCAGCATAGAAGACAAAATATGAACCCACCACCTTGTGACTCAAAGACAACAGCTCTTCCTCTCAGCCACAGCCTAATTATGGGCTGTTGTTCAGAAATTACGAATTGTTGTTAGAATGGAGTTTTTTTAATGGGAAAAATCCCTGAAGTTTGGTAAAGTTTGAAAGAAACAGAAGCTTAAGTCCAGTTTTTTTCCCCACACGTCCTGGTAGCCTTGGGTTTTTCTGGAACAGATGTGAAAAATTGATGCTTACTACTGGCGATGAGTTCAAACAATGTTCTTTAACAATATCTGTGTGTCGCCTTGTACCCTAAGAAACGTAGAAGCCAATCCTGGTCAAATTTGACTGGAATATACTTGGTGCCTATTTCTTTGGGCTGAAGGGGTAATAGAGGCCTCACAACCAGAGGGGTTGTGTGGTTTGCCTCCCAGCATGGCAAAGTGAAGTGGGAGACGCCCCTCCCCCCACACCACCGAGGGACCTGAAAAGAAAACTGCCCAAAAAAATTAGAATAATAATTCAATCATAAAAAATGTAGGGATATTTAATTCACTAAAACTAAAAGGCCCAAACAAATAAATATGAAATAATACTAGTTATTAGTTTAATTATTATTATTTTGATATTTTATATTATTAAGTGATACAAATAAGAATTAAATACATTACTTTTCAGAAACATTTAAAAAAACAAATTGTATATTGAATTAAAAAATGTTTTGCAAAAATTTTTATTTAAATAACAATTACAATATTGGTTTATAAATGGGGACAACGATTTCTGTTTGCTGCTTTAAGAAAGAAACATGCACGAAGGTACAGGACTTGTTATGTTTTAATTTATTTTATGATCTTTGTGAGTTTTTATGTTTTGATGAGATGTTGTGTCCCTTGCCAGCCTAAAGGGGACACCCCCTACCTCCGAGGGACCAACAAAAAAAAAGCGCAAATGACGCCCTATGAATACAATCCATTTAAACCTTATATATACAGTCTATGATTTAAACCCATGATTTCAAACCAAGAAACGGACGTCCCGGTCTTTAAACAGTTCGCACCCTTTCGGTAACTATGACAACTCTCCGTCCTTCTCATCCAATCAAAACCATACGTTTTTGTCTCTCAAACACGTTATACGCCATCTTGAAAACACACCAGCAGTTTGTTAAATCGCTCTCAAACAAAAAAAAGGACAAACCACAACAACTTTTTTTTCCGCAGCGTTAGTGTCCGTTATGAATGGTTCACGAAACAAACCGGCACCGACAGTCAGTAAGAGTCAGACGGAGACAGAACCCGGCTCGGAGGCGAGGGAGAGAAAGAGCGGTGGAGGAATGCTGAAGAAGCTGAAGTCAAGGCGCAATCAGCCGGACAAGTGGCCTGTGGTCACCGAGGATGAACTGCGGGCTATGGGGAAAGATATTACCCCAGACAATGTCCTGGGTCTCCGGGCAGTCACGGAGGGTGAGTTATGAAAGCATTGTCTTAGTTAAAGCCGGTAAAATAACACTGCTGTACTGGCATCATTTTACCCTATGCTAACGGTGGCTAAGTGAAGAGTCAGACCTGTTGACTTCTTAGTTCACTCATTTCCTGAATCACATTGTTAGTTAGTTAATTTGTCACACAGGTTACTTTATGTCTAAGTTAACTATGTTTTGTGTTGTGATGTGCATATTTCCTATTTGTTGATAACCAACAAAGTAGGAGGTTTCCAAGGAATTTGGAGCCCCCCCTGATGGGATTTGTTCAGAGCCCCCTGTCCTTAAAGCTGTATTTAAGGATTTATTTAGCTACTGGAAAAGATAAACTGATCAACTACTGTCATGTGAAGTAGTCATGGCTCATGTTTAAAAATACAACAACAAATCTAATTAATTTGCACCATGATTTGCACATATTCTTCTTAAACAACAAATGCAGGTGTATTCACTAAAAGCTATGCTTTTTGGTCACTAGTGCAGCTTTAAGTAATGGATTCGGATGTTGTTGCCTTTTAATCACCTGGAACAGTCACTTTACACGAGTAAATGCACTAGGAGTCAAACACCAGTGTTTGGTATTGGAAACCCAGACTACCAAAGTTGCAGCTAATGCTTAACGCCTTCCATTGTTTTGAGCCTTTTCCCCGGACCAGACAACAATGGCATTACTTCCCCTTCTTTCTCACAAGACTTGACTGAATATCCGTGAGCCTGCGCAGTGGAATTATTCACCACCACTGCAAGGTGCAGGAACCACAAAAAAGATACTCAGACCCTAGTTTTTCCTTGAGTGCTGGCTCTATTGTCAAAGTAAGGGCGAACCTTTGTGGATCAAAGCTTTGTGACTTGCCTCAAAATTCCTCATGTAGGTATTAGTTAAGCTAATTAAATATCAAAGAATTGCCTCTGTTTGCTAGTGTAGTTCTGAAACTATAGGTCTGCTAGTCCTTTGTTCAAAAATAATCACAAAGTTCTTTAATAATAGGTTAACTTTTAAAGAGAAAAAAAGAAAATACACCCGTTTTTAGCCTTTTTAAAAATGTTTTTCTCTGTATGATATCATATTAAAGGGGATATGTTTGTTTTTGGACTGGCAAAATAAGACATTTAAAGACATAACCTCTGAACTCAAGAAACTAAGATGGACTTTTTTTACTTTCTTTTTATATTTTAAGAGACTTAAATTATGAATCTAACAAAAAGCCTTACTAATGGTTGCTTGCTCCCTATAAGACTATTGAACTCCTCTACTGAATGTATGTTTCTCTGAAGTACCTCTTTTATTTCATATTCCAGACTATCTGTGCAAACCTGAAGATAATATCTACAGCATTGACTTCACACGTTTCAAAATCCGAGACCTGGAAACGGGAACGGTGCTGTTTGAGATTGCCAAACCTCCTAACAGCGGTAAGTGACACATTTACATCTGCCTCTTGAAGATTCAACCATTCACAAAACTCACACAGTCTTGTTCATGGAGATTTGTTTCACTCAACATGATTCTTGTGCAGCCAAACTTCTGTATAGTTATTGATTGTGACTGGAAAGCTAGCCCTTGCTAAAAGGACCATAAGGGAGAAACATGTGTACAGACCATAGACTGTACTGTAGATACAGACACAGTGATTGTGCTCAGTTATAGCCCAGAGGTGTTGTCCTGTCAGTAAAGCACAGTATGACCAAGCATGAGTACCACAGTCTTTCCATACAGTCTGCTTTGTATATGGATCTTACCCTATTGTCATATGCTCTTCCTGGGTCGGTTTTACCTCCTAAAAATGTCAACATATTTAAATTGCATTATTTTTACTATTAAGTTAACCCATTCATTTAAAACAAATAAAAATGTAGATTTTAGAAAAATATTTGGGAATCATCAGTGTGTCTTCTTGATTGATATCTTTTGACATTGCTCTTGCACATCACAGATAATAATAGTGCATCATCTGCATGACCACATCTTTTCAGCCCAGTTTCTCCTAGTTTTGTTGCCTATCCTGTGATTATTTCATGTAGGACAGCTTAACATGTTTTCTGTTTTAGGTCCTCTGGACGGTGAAGAGGAGAGTGGGGATGTAGACACCAGCGCGGGGCGTTTTGTGCGATATCAGTTTACACCGGCCTTCCTGAAACTGTGCACTGTTGGTGCAACGTAAGTCAATTAAGCATAACGCTCTAAATTGTAATAGCTGCATGCATAATAATCAGACTTTAAAGTGCAAAACTGAATTGTGAATGTTGTCTTTCTTGTTTCTGTTTTCTAAACCTCAGTGTGGAGTTCACCGTGGGAGACCGGCCAATTAACAGCTTCCGTATGATTGAGAGGCATTACTTCCAGGGACGCCTCCTAAAGAACTTTGACTTTGACTTTGGCTTTTGCATTCCCAACAGCCGCAACACATGTGAACACATTTATGAGTTTCCACAGCTTCCAGACGACCTCAGTGAGTTTATTTTTCCTCAGCCAATAATGTTAATGCTGTTGCAGGCATGTAAGCGTTGCCATATTGGAAATGCTTAGCTATCAAACTGGTGTCATAACCTTGAGAGTGAAATTTATAAAAAATACATACTTAAAAGACTTTTCGGCATGCCGCACGACGGGAAGACAGTTTTTTGTTACTGCCTTCATTTAAGGCCATAAGCTAAATTCATAAAGTAAATAACTGGGTTCCCCGGTAGATTCTAAGTTATCACCAATGCACATTTTCTTAAAATGAGCGACAGGAGAAGAGATGCGTAAACAGTCGTAGGATCCATACTTTGCTCCCAGGAAATGAATTAAAATAGGACATTACAGACTCAAACCAACTACGGTACTAATTGTATGTGTCACAAATGGTGGAATAATTAAATGATCTGTAAGGCTTTGTTGGCAGTCTGATGGTCTCACATTGTACAGTGGGCAAAATGATCTTACATATATGACAATTATCACGCATCTGGAACAGTGTACCGTATACATATTTATACCTTATAGTTCATATCTTGATCTTTGTTGAAATATTCTTCTTCCTTCTCTCCCTGTCAGTTCGCCTCATGGTGGCGCACCCTTACGAGACCAGATCGGACAGTTTCTACTTTGTGGACAACAAACTCATCATGCACAACAAGGCGGACTATGCCTACAACGGCGGTCTGTAATACCTGAAGGGGAGAAATATTTGCGATATTCAGAGGGGGATTGCTTTCATCGCATTACAACCATCCAAAAGCTTTCTTTGGGGGCGGGGGGGGGTGGCAGAAGTCATATTCTCTTTGTGAACATTCCTCCAAACGTGACAACATTCATCACAATGGACCACATCTGCCTCCGTACAAAATCATGGATCCATTCACCAGTACCTCATTGACCTCAGCTTCTGGGACTCCGAGGAATGTTCTGTCAAATATGTGTTTTGTCAAATCTGACTCTTTGCTCTGTCTTTTGGTTTGTCATTCAAATATCATGTAACATTTTTGCCTTAAGTTTCTTGCCGTCTCTGCTGGAAAGGGACACTTTGAATCACAGACCTCTCATGGAAAAGCCTATAGGTTGTGTCAGTTATAACTCCATTTGCTTTAGTATATAGATGTTATCAGTTGATGTTTATTTGAACTACCTTTCGCTAGTGACAATTGTGTTTCCCATATGGAAGAACGAGCATTAACTAGACGTTTTACAGTATTGTTAGTCAAGGATGATTATGTAGCACTAGGTGACATTGTTTGAATTTCATTCTTGCTTAAATATCTCCTATCAGTTGTGAGCCATCTGGACTGTTTGGGTCAGATATTTAAGATAGGTGTTAATTTGACGAGGTACATTAGGTTGACCAATCTCGTCTTAAGTAGAAGTTTTTTTTTGTTGAGGATAAGCATGAGCTCTTTTCATAATGTTAGGTGCAATATATACCCTGCTAAAATCTGTTAAACTTTTCGTGGCATAATTCGCTGTCAGTTGGGAATCTAGTATTGGTTATATCAAACTCTGCACACTTGAAAACACAAAAAGGTAAAGATATCAACTTATTTGAGAGTTATTAGACTTGCTTTACATGCCATCCGTTGCTAAAACAGCACTGAAAACAGTTTGAAACGGTTATTTAAATAAATGTATTATGTAAACAAATTACACATTGTTTTAGTTGAAAGCAATAATATAAAGTTTAATAAAAAAATAATAGCTTTAACTTAATACTATTGCTTTAAACTTACCTAATACAATTATGTGGAACCTGTTGACATAATACATTTAATTAAAATCCATTTAAAAAAAATTCTGTGAGTTTAGTCTTCCCACGTTATTGTACTCCACAAAGCACACGTTTTTAATAACTTGATGTCTGTCTTCCTGGTTTATTTGGCACAATAGTATACTATAAATCCAACTCTTTTTGAGCAGAATTTGTCTAGCAGTGTGTTATACCTTTTAAACGGGTCGCTGTGTGTATCTTCTGCTGCTCTGAGCTCAGGTTCTCAATCTACTAATGATATAAAGCACAAAGCAGGACAATACAGAGTGATGTTCCTTGGTAGTTGATCTTTTTTATTTTAATAAGGCAGCAGGACAGACACAGTCCTGTTTTAAGGACGATACCGGTGGTTTTGCATATTGTTGGCCATTCACTACAAATGTTGAATGTCTATTAGTTACAACTGTACAATGTAATTGAAATTGTACAACAACCGTAATCCTATTTTAGCAGTTTTAATTTGCAATTAGAGCTACAATTTACCATTACTTGTTAATTATTTTCTAAATGTAAGAGAATATTGCTTTGATTAGCTGGTTCAGTTTTTTTCTTTTCTTTCGGTACAGTCAGTCAGGTGTTTTAGTGGCTGTCTGAAATGCAGAAAATAACACCTTACAAATGGTCAGCATTGCTTTAATTCTATTATGCAATGTATTTAAATCATGCAAAACCACTGGAACAGTCTGGAAGTAATTTCCAAAACTCAAAAGCTCCTCTCACTGTACTTTGTAACATGACTCCATGTGCCTTATATATCCAGGTGTTCATTGTTAAGTTGTTTATTGTGTAAGGAAACGTTGTACTGAAATTAAGCTGAAGGAAAGATAATTCATCTCCGACGTCTTGCAGTACTGCCTTTTGTAAAACAGGTGTCTTACAGCCTGCGTTGAGTCATTTTGTATTATCTTATTTTATCTTTGGGATTTTAATGTTTGAAGCATCAATGACAACTCATGATGTAGCCCATTAATAACTCAAACAAGTGTTATATCAGGCACACACTTTAAACAGCTGAAGCTTTTACTCAATGACCCAATACCACCTCAATTTATTTGCCAATTGGACTCAATGGATGTATCTCAGTTGGTCTGCTGGTTAGAAGCACTGGTGTTGCTATGCCAAACAGTATCGGTCAGCGGTATTTTATTGTAAAAAATGAAAATGCCTTGAGAAGAGGGTCCAATTTGTGTTACTAGACTGTCTGGATCAATGTATGGATCATATTTGTAACCCGTTGCATAGACCCCTCCTTTTATATTGTCTCATTTTACAAGTGATAAACTCATGTTCATTCAAATGTATTGTAAATAAAAATATTAGACTGAAAAACATTGAAAAGCTGGTGTTTATTTTAAATAGATTATCAGGGAGTTTGGGAAACTTTTGTCTTTGTTTATCTAGATTAAATCAGCTGTATTGGTCCCTTCAAATTATGCTGACATTCTTAAATCTTGTTTCATTTGTAAAAGTTGTGAATATTAATTCAGTCTTAAAATGAATGTCAGAAATTTAAAATGGAAAATGTATGACATTGTTTTCATTCTTTTTATGAAATGAACATTATTGCACAGATTGTGGTTTTGTCCCTGTAAATACAATAAAGAAATTGCCTTGACTTTTTGTTTAAAAAAAGTTGGTTTGTCGAAGTTGTATGAAGAAAGTGATGTAAAGACACAAATAGCCAGTTTCTGTCAACACAGTTCCCGTTTGACAAACAGACTACATTACCCAGAATGCTCAGCTCAAAACACCAGCGGCACGTGTTTGAGCATGGCGGCCACAGCTAAGAAGATAGTTGGTGTTTCTGAAGACTCCTGCAGCAGTGACGATGAAGTGTTGAGAAGATGTCAGGAGGCCGTTTGGGAAACACGAAGTGACACGAAGAAAGGTAAAGGTGTTCCTGTTATGTTAGTAGTGAGAGGCGAAGTGGACAGAGAGAAAACTCCTGTAGGAATACGACATTAGCCTGGTGAGAAACCCACCTCTGATTTAAATACAGAGGTGGTAGTAATGAAACGTGAGTCGAAATGTCAGAAATCTATATTTGTATTGCACTTCACTACTCATTAACTTGCTTTAACTTCTTGCAGCATGCTTGTTTTAACCTTCAGCGCTAATGTAGACACAGTATTTATTAAATGCATGTTACCTGATGATGACTGCTGCTATCTGTGTTTTAGATGGGGGCAATATGCAACAGTCAAAACGGTAAGCCTTTTATACATGTATATTTAAGTTATAAGAGCTAGTGTATTGGATTGTTTATCTCCACTTCAGCTATTAAGGTTAAATACTCCAAATGTCCCAGCTATAGCTATATTATCAACGTGCAACCAGGGCAAACAATTAGCACCATTTACCAACCAAATGCTCTTGATATATAAAAAGGACTGGGGGATTTGCATAACTTACCAGCCCAATAAACAATGATTTTCTTGTTAAATTACAAAACTTAATTTTGGACATATGCGGCTTCTCTTTAGTGAATGGTCCAATGACAGAATTTCATACAAAAATATTCAATCAATCAATAATCATAAATCAAGTAAGTTTGAATATTGTCTTGTTGTGCAACAGAATTGTTGTCGCTGACCATGATCACGATGGCAACGAGCTCCAGGTCACCCAAGGGTTTCGAACACACGTCGCCAAAAAGTTAGGAAATCTTCTCGACAGGTATGTAGTTTGACTTCTCTGCATTTTCATATCAATGTGAGGCAAAGATCCATATATTTGAAAACTTAACATATATTGTCCCCTTTCCTGTCAGTCGCTTTACAGAGATGAAAACTGAAACTGAATCCTGTGCGGAGTCAGCAAAATGTGATAATGATGATGACGATGATGAGGGTACATTTTCTCTTTTATTTTGGTACCTACTGCTTTTCAGGGTATACTGCTATTTTTAAATGCATGCCCATCCATATGTTTTCTTTTGTTTCTTTCCTTTTCTAGGATTTCTTCTGTTTTCTACATCAGTCCCGGGACAGGCAGCTGTAGAAGCCCCAGCCCCTGTGAGGCGGCGGCCTATTTCCAGCTCAAGGTTCTTATTATTACATTTTAAAATGTCATTTATTTGTATAGTCCTTAAAGGTTTAGTTTCAAAGTGACTTTGTATAAGGGACTTATCTAAAATCGGTGTGTTACCTACTGTACATTGAGGTTGGCACGCCCACGGTTTGGAGAAACGAGCGTGAGTGACTGCACAGAGGCATCCAATCCAATCCATTTTATTTATATAGCACATTTAAAAACAACAGAGTTGAACAAAGTGCTGTACATCAACAACTGTATAAAAACATAGCATAAATACATAAAAACAGACAGGACATGAAACAAATGTAAAACACGAGACAATGAAACCAGATCAGAAGCCACCGACTGAAAAACTCTCCTATATGACGTAAAAACAATACAAAACACTAGTAAGGTAAAAAAAAAACACATTTAACAGCACAAGTGTCACCTGGTCTGTACAGTAAAAGCCAGGGAAAATAAGTGGGTTTTTAAACGAGATTTAAAAACAGGCAGAGTTGGAGCAAGTCTAACCTGGAGGGGTAATTCGTTCCATAACTTTGGAGCTGCAACAGCAAAGGCTCTGTCTCCCTGCTGCTTTAGCCTCGATTTTGGGACTTCCAGAAGGAGTCTGTCAGCAGACCTCAGTGACCGTGTGGGTGTGTATGGTTTTAAAAGATCTGCCAGGTACGGTGGGACTAAACCGTTTAGGGCCTTGTATGCGAACATTAGCATTTTAAATTGTATTCTAAAATGGACTGGTAGCCAGTGTAAAGAGGCGAGTACAGGCGTAATATATTCACACCTGCCTGTCCTTGTAAGGAGGCGTGCAGCAGCATTCTGGACCAGCTGTAGGCGTGACAGGGAAGCCTTGGTCACTCCAATATAAAGAGCATTGCAGTAATCCAGTTTAGTGGATATAAAACAATGTATTACTTTCTCAAAGTCATTAAAAGAAAGGAAAGGCTTGACCTTTGCTAAAAGTCTTAGCTGAAAGAAGCTGGATTTTACCACAGAGTTAATCTGTTTGTCTAGTTTAAAATCACGAACAATCCGTACACCCAGGTTTGTGACATGGGTTTCACATATGGGACAAGAGAATCCAGCACAGGTGGGGCATTGGGGCCACCACTGGGTCCAAATATTATGACCTCTGTCTTTTTTTCATTGAATTTTAAAAAGTTCAAGGCCATCCAGGCTCTTTTGTCCTGCAGACAGTCAGACAGACGTTGCTGAGGGTTTGGGTCATTTATTTTCAGGGGCATGTAGATTTGCGAGTCATCTGCATAAAAATGAAATGAGACACCATATTTCTTAATGATAGCGCCCAGGGGGAGCAGGTACAGGGAAAATAAAATCGGCCCAAGAATGGAGCCTTGGGGTACCCCGTATGGGAGAGGAGCAGAGGAGGAAGTAAATTCATTAAGATTTACATTAAAACTTCTTTCAGACAGACTTAAACCAGTCTAGAGCAGTACCACTGATTCCCACAAAATGTTGCAGGCGAGTGACAGGACTAACGCGTTACAAGTAACGCGTTACTGTAACGCCGTTATTGTTGGCAGTAACTAGTACTCTAACGCATTACTTTTTTAATTCAGTAACTCATTTACCGTTACTACATGGTGCGTTACTCCGTTAGTTTTTTTTATATAGTCAACAGCCAGGCGAACAGAGATGAGAACTGTACTTAAGTACTTGAGTAAATGTACTTAGATACTTCCTGTGTCACATGCGGAGACGGGCTGTGGGCGTGTTTGTGTTGTTTACTAACAAGACTATCATGGCGGCGGCGGAGCTCAAGTCTTGTTTCTCCACCTGGAGATATTCTCACTATTTCAATTTTTTCGAGCACAAAGAAAAGAACGTTTTAGTTAAATGTAAGTTGTGTCCTGGCGGGTCAAAGATCCTATCTACTGCCCAAACCAGTAATTCAAATCTCTTAAAACATCTGCAAAAACAACATGCTGGGACGAAGCTAGTAGCTAAGACCACAGAGACTCAGCCGACGCCACTCCACCTCCACCTAAGCAACAGCGGCTGGATTTTAACCAAGGGACTTCTAGCCAGGGAAAAGTCGATAAAGCCATTGCACGGTATGTTGTAGAACACATGCAGGCTATTGCTACAGTGGAGTCACCCGCTTTCAGGGAGCTAGTTAGCATGATAGCATGTCCGGGCGGCACAGGGCATATGGGACGGAACACTTTTTCCAACTACCTGGAGAAAGAATATACAAAAATGGAAAGCCAGCTAATATCGATGCAATCCAGATTGCATATAATGCATGTCAAGTTGATCAACAGATTGTATTATTCTCCAATGCAATAACAGTACTGAAAGGAAGGCTATAAGGGCATTAATGGGAGCCCTTTTTTCAAGTAACGAAAACGTTACTTTTCACAGTAACGCATTACTTTTGGGTGTACGTAACTAGTAAATTAACTGAGTTACTTTTGACATGAAGTAACTAGTAATGGTAACTAGTTACTGGTTTTCAGTAACTAGCACAACACTGCAGGCGAGAAATGAGAATACTGTGATTTACAGTGTCAAAGGCAGCTGTCAGGTCTAAAAGTATAAGAACAGCACTGTTCCCAGAATCAGTAGCTAAAAACAGGTCATTAAAAAAACTTTTAAAAGAGCAGATTCAGTGCTGTGGAGGGGTTTAAACCCAGACTGGAATACCTCAAGAATGCCATGCACATTTAAGGACTGCAACTGCTTCAGTACCACTTTTTCTAAAATTTTGGACATAAAAGGAAGTTTATAGATTGGTCAAAACAGAGGTGTCCAGGTTTGTTTTTTTAATCAAAGGCTGGACCACAACATGTTTTAGGCACTTTGGTACTTTTCCTGTAGTCAGGCTGCTGTTAATTATATTAAGAACGTTAAGTCCAACAATGTCCCCGATTTCTTTGAAAAATCGCGCACGGACAGCATCGCTTGGAGAACCTGAGGGTTTCAATTGAGCAACAATTTCTATTAGAGCAGGAAGTGACACAAGCTCAAACTGATCCATAGCAGCTGAGCAAGTGTCCATGACAGATGGATCATGGGAAGGAAGTGAGATGTTTGCTCTGATGGCGCCTCACAGGTTTCAGTGGAGGTTACTAAGTTGATGGATTGTGGAACATTTAGTATACAGTTTATAGTGCTAAAAAGAACACAGGGTTTATGACAGTTATTACGTATAACATCTGAAAAATACTGCGTTTTTTCCGCTTTAACAACTTTCTGATAGCTACGCCAGGAGCCCTTTAAAATATCATAAGACACATGCAGCTTGTCTTTTTTCCATTTGCGTTCAGCCC